TTTTTTGAGACAGAGTCTTGCTCTGTCCTCCAGGCTGGAGTGCAGTTGGCATGATTTCGGCTCACTGCAAACTCTGCCTCCCGGGTTCAAACAATTTTCCCCGGCTCAGCCTCCTGAGTAGCTGGGATAACAGGTGCCTGCCACCACACCCAGCTAATTTTTGTATTTTTTAGTAGAGATGGGGTTTGCCATTTTGGCCAGGCTGGACTTGAACTCCTGACCTCAAGTGATCCACCCGCCTTGGCCTCCCAAAGTGCTGGGATTACAAGTGTGAGCCACCATGCCTGGCCAATTTTTGTATTTTTAGTAGATACAGTGTTTCACCACTTTGGACAGGCTGGTCTTGAACTCCTGACCTCAGGTGAGCCACCAGCCTTGGCCTCCCAAAGTGCTGGGATTACAGGCGTGAACCACCGTGCCCAGCCTGAACCCCTCCTTTCAAAAAGGAAGTTTCCCTGAGAAGATCCAAGCCCTTGTAAGATGGAAGCTGACCTCACTGTAATGTTCAAGGGGCACAGACATTAGGATGGGCGGTGTGATCTGAACACAGGATGATGCTGCTAGTATCAGCAAGAGGTCCCAACACCAGCCCTGCAGCCGCCAAACAATCACTGACTGAGTAGAAGGCTTTCCAGAACCCCGCAGTGTAACACCATTGTATGGCAGCCTTGATCTTCGTGGGGCCTTGTGGGACTCCAGAATGACGCTAGGGGAACCAGAGCTCAGGCCCTGGTCCACTCCTTTCCTGTGATCTCACCAATCCCATCGCTTTAAGTATATATGCAGTACACACAGGTATGAATTTCACATTTACATTTCTAGCCCAGGGCTCGCTCTCAAACCTCAGACTCATATATCCAACTGCCTACTTTATATCCTCACATGCGTGTGAACCGACATCTCAGACTCAATACGTCTAAAACTGAACTCTGATGTCTCACCCTAATGCTGTTCCATTCAGCTATCCTCATCCTTCCAGTTGCTCAGGCCAAAAGCCCTGGAGTCATCACTAACCTCTCTCGTTCACCTACTTCCCATATAATGATCCATCAGAAAATCCAGTGGGCTCTACCTTCCAAATACATCCTTTATGGAATAACTCTTCACTTTGTCCACTGCTACCACCCTGGTTCAAGTCACCGTGGCCTCCCACCTAAATCCATGCAACAACCTCCTAACCTGTCTCTCTGCTTCCGCCAGTCTTTATCAATTCTCAGCACTGTGGTTAAAGTGGCCTTTCAAAATGTAAATCAGATCATATCTCTGCTTAAAACCCTGACACGGTGCCCCCTTTACTCAAAGTAAAAATCAAATCCTTAGAATAACTCACAGGTCCTACATGCTCCACCCACTCCTCCCCTTCTCCATATGACCTCCTCTGATACAACTCTTTCCCTTTGCTCAGTCCACACGGGCCTCCTCACTGTTCTGCAAATGTGTCAGCCATGCTTCTGACTTTGGCTGTAGCTGAATGTCCTTATGAGAGGTGAAGCCATCTAGACTTCCTGGGTCGAGTAGGGACTTGGAAAACTTTTCTAACAAGAGGATTGTAAAATGCACCAATCAGCGCTCTGTAAAATGCACCAATCAGCACCCTGTAGCTAGCAAGAGGATTATAAAATGCACCAGTCAGCGCTCTGGAGCTAGCAAGGGGATTGTAAAATGCACCAGTCAGGGCTCTGTAAAAAGACACCAATCAGCGCTCTGTAAAATGCACCAATCAGCACTCTGTAAAACGCGCCAATCAGCAGGATCCTAAAAGTAGCCAATTGCAGGGAGGATTGAAAAAAGGGCATTCTGATAAGACAGAAACGGAATACACGAGGGGATAAATAAGGCAATAAATGTTGGCCACCCCCACCCCCAGCAGCAACAATCTGCTTGGGTCCCCATCCACGCTGTGGAAGCTTTCTTCTTTCACTCTTCACAAATCTTGCTACCGCTCACTCTTTGGGTCCATGCCATCTTTAAGAGCTATAACACTCACCGCAAAGGTCTGCGGCTCCATTCTTGAAGTCAGTGAGGTCACAAATGCACTGGCAGGAACCAACTCTGGACACACTTACTTACTTTGGCCTTTGTATCTCATGTCCTCAATGAGATCTACCCTGATGTCATGGGCTGAACGGTGCTCCCCGCAAAATTGACATGTTGAAGTCCTAACCCCCCAGTATCTCAGAATGTGAGTGTATTTGGAGATAGGGTCTTTAAAAAGGGAATTAAGTTATGATGAGGTCATTGTGGTAGGCCCCAATCCAATCTGACTCTTGCTTTTAAAAGAAAAAATTAGGACACAGACACACACAGAGGAAAGACCATGTGGAGACATACAGGGAAGATTCATTCATATATCCAACTGCTTACTTTACATCCTCACTTGCGTGTGAACAGACAACTCAGACTCAATGAGTCTAAAACTGAGCTCTGACGAGATACAAAGACAAAACTGAGCTCTCTGCAAGCCAAGGAGAGAGGCCTTAGAAGAAACCAACCCTGACAACACCTTGATCTGGGATTTCTACCCTCCAGAGCTGTAAAATGAGAAATGTCTGTTGTTCAGGCCACCCAGTCTGTGGTACTTTGCTATGGCAGCCCTAGCAAAGGAATACACCTGGCCACACTATTGGTGCTGCATCTTGCCCCTTCCCTCTGGCCCGGATCCTCTTCTACTTCTACCTTTTTTCCCATATTGCACTCAGCACCTCTCACATACTTATTTCCTTAGATATTATGTTTGTTGTTTAGAATTCTGATCTGTCTTCTGCTCCCCTTCCACCCCATGTAAGCTCCATAAGAGCACAATCTTTCTTTCGTTTACTGATGTATCCCAAAAACCTCCAACAGTGCAGGGCATACAGCAGGTGCTCAGTAAACAGCTGATGGATGAATAAGTGCTAACACTATCCCTTGTATGCGGAGGGATCACTGGATGCATTCCTTCAGAGGGAGAGCTTTGAAGGACAGGGTAAAAAATTTCACTGCGTTGACTCCAGGTTTAATAATATAATACTTGAAGGAAGAAGAAATTTTTTTAGTTTTCTTCTTACTCTCTTCTGCCCCATTTAATGGCCCTCCACCCCTTACTCCCAATTCTCCAGTGTTCTCTATGCAATGGCCAATAGCAGCATTTATCCATTTAGGCTGAAAACCTGGAGAACGGTCCTGGACTTCTCCCTGCACAAAGCCCATATCTTTATACAGCTCTCTCCGTTCCCGATTTCACGATTCTGGCCCAGGGCCCTCACTACCAGCCTTCTTATGGGCCGCTGTAGCAGCCTCCCGCGTGGGCTTCCTGCAGCTGCGGAGGTATTTCAGATACTCTGAAGGGCCACACGTGCTCTCTCACTGCCCTAACACCCCTCCCCTTTCTCCCCGCCCCTCCACGGTTAGGCTTGTTGATCATAACACGCAGCAGCTCGCTTGTATTAGGCGCTCACGTTATGCCTCCCCTACTGGGTAGTGCATACACTTCAAGAGGCTTGAGGACAGGGGCCGTGTCCCTAGCGCCGGCACAAAATGGAAGCTCCAAACTTATTTGTTGGTCATCTCCCTTCTTGTTGCTCTGACTTTCCGCTTTGTATACGCCAGGGAACTGAGCACAGGAGGGAGGCGACGCGGCTGGTTTCGCGTTGGGGCAAAGCCCCCCTCTGCTCCCTGCCGTGTCCCCGGCCATCTCCGGCCCCCTGCACCCAGGCGCTCTCACCTTGGCCGAGACCTTTCTCCAGCCGCAGAAAGCCTCGTAGGCAGCGCGCACGGCGGCGCGGGCCTCTGACACCCCGCAATCGGCTACCATGCCCAGGGCAGCGCCGCTGGCCGGGTCTTGCACGGGGAAGGTGGCGGCGGCCGGGAGCCAACGGCCGCCCACGAAGCTGTCGGTGCGCAGCAGCGCCGCAGAGAGGCCCGCCAGGCCCCCAGCGTAGCCGCGGAGCTGGGCCGGGCCGGGCGCAGGCCCGGGGGCAGGCACCAGGCCGCCGGCGCGGGGGTGGAGGCGACAGCCTGGAAACGTCGACCCGAGGCGCCGGGCCCCGCAGCTCCGCAGCCAAAAGCAGGTCGCCATGGCCCGGGCAGCGACGGCAACACGAAACAGGCAAGCGGACGCGCGCGCACGGGAACGCAGGGGTCGCGGGGAAGCAAGAGGAACGAGGAGGCGCCGGAGACGCGCGGGGAAAGCCGGGGAGCTGGCGGAAGGTTGCAGAGCCACAGAGCAGCGCCCTCTCTCCGCGCCTTTCTCGCTGCACCGCCGCGCAGTCTTCTGCACCTTGCCCTGAGCGCCGCGCGGCTTCGCTCCTGGCGCGACCTTCTCCCGGGGGAGGGTTGGTTTGGGGGATGGAGAAGGCTCGCTGGTAGATGCACCTGCGGACTGCTGTCACCTTTTCACTTTTCGGGTGCTCATTTGTCACTAACTGCTCCTAAGCCCCCAACCGCTGCTAGAGACCCACTGTCTCCCCTTAGCATCCCCCAAATTCGGCATCCCTGGAATTTGTGCGCGGTCCATAGAGGCGCTGGTGCCTGCCCTAAATGCCAAGGCCATGATCACGCTTCTTCATCGTTGTAGCTCCTGAGCACGTAGGATTGATTGGGAGCGATGGTTCTCTGAGGGGTCGAAGTGTGACCCCGCGTTCTGCTGCCTGCCTGCTTTTCTGGGTGTGTGTCTAGGCATTCTCCTACGGGCGCACCCGATCCATAACAGCGCCTTGGAAATAAACAGACTAGGATCCAAACTCAGCCTGTTGCCGACAAGCTGCGTAACCGACAGGTTAACCTTAGTCCAGTCACTTACAAAATAGAACCGTATCTACCCCGTAGGTTTGTTGTGAGATAACGTAAAATGCTCATTACAGTTGCTACATTAAATTCAATAGTGTTCAAAGTCATACTAGCTACCCTAGTCAAGCCACTAGTAAGATTAAAGTTGGGCCACCAACTAGTAAATGGAAGCATTTGTCCAAATCGAATCAACCAAGGTGTAAGTATTGAGCATACTATCCAACCAAGGTATTTGAGCAGCTTTAAACAACATTCTTCATCCGCTCAAAAATTAGACTTGGGCTTAAGACTCTGAAAGCAGCAGGGAAGCTTAAAACCTAAGGAGGATACAAGTAAAAATAGTAGGTGTATGCTGGGAATTTGTGGGTGCAAATGAAGCCCAGCCCTATGCTTTGATTTTAGGTTACTAGTCTCAACATATCTCCCTTTCTCAACTCCTACAGCGTTAAGAGTATCTTGCTAGCTTTCACCTTTTTCTAGGACGTTGACTTTTTTTCTAGGACATTTGCAAAATGCTGAGGCAGTAACTTTAAATTTTGACTTCGTCTTTTGCTGAGTCAGATCCATTGAGTTTTGAGCCAGTCACATATGGCAGAAGTGGTAACAGCAGAGTTTAATCAATTTCACACTATTTTGTTCTGTATTTTATTGCAGGAACTGGGGAGAACCAGGGAGTCCTAATAGGGATATCGGCCAGTAGATATCACAGTTGGGGCTGGGAGCTGCGGTGTTTACATCTCCTGCCTGCAGAGGGAGTATTTTTTTTGTTTGTTTGTTTTTGGTAGTGGTGGTTGTTTTTTGTTTGTTTTGTTCTTGTGAGACCGACAGACTCATTCTGTCGCCCAGGTGGAGTGCAGTGGTGCGATTTCAGCTCCCTGCAACTTCTGTCTCTCGGGTTCAAGCGATTCTCCTGCCTCAGCCTCCCGAGTAGATGGGGCTGCAGGTGTGTCACCAAGCCCAGCTAATTTTTGTATTTTTAGTAGAGACAGGTTTTCACCATGTTGGCCAGGCTAGTCTTGAACTCCTGACCTCAAGTGATCCGCTCTCCTTGGCCTCCCAAAGTGCTGGGATTACAGGTTAGCCCATTTCTACTGGCCTGGAGAAATCATTCAATTAAGGCCTCAATCAACTCAGGCCAGGAAAAGCCAAGTTAATTGTGGCTTCCTCTCTTACTCAAAAGTTACCCTAGTCCACTTATCTTTTTAGGGTTCTATTTCAAACGGTACCCACTCCCTTTCCCAGATGACTTATCCATTAGACACAGTAGGTACATGCTGAGGGCCCATAAAACTTTTAGGAGCACTCAAAAATGTTTAATTTCTTCTAAAACCTGAAGAAGAAAATGAACTTTTAGGTGGCATATTAATATGTTAATCTTACACCAATGCAGATGTAAAATGTGATTTCTATTTATTGTTTACTTATTTTTATGACAGGAAGTACTTCGCAAAGGCAAAAGTGCCTGGAGCTTAGAAAGTTCATAATGTGGCTCTTCCCTTTTCCCTTGGTTTTGTGCCCCTCTGCAAGCCCCCATTCATAGTGTAAACAATTCCCTCCTGGCTCCTGTCTTACTTCCAGCTTGTCCTGATGACTCCTAGCACCTGGCTGGGTGTCCTTACCAGAGCCTACAAGGACAAGACCATCAGGTGAGAGGGAACTCTTCCTTCCTTTCTCCTTTGCCTGCCCTTGTCCTGGGAACCTCCACTCCCCAGTTCCCACCCTTATTCATCCTCTCCCCCATTTTCTTTTTCTTTTCTTTTTTTCTTTTTTTTGAGACAGGGTCTTATCTGTCACCCAGGCTGAATGGCACGATCTCAGCTCACTACAGTGTCTGCCTCCTGGGTTCAAGTGATTCTCCTTCCTCAGCCTCTGGAGTAGCTGGGAGTACAGGTGCGTGCCACCATGCCCAGCTAATTTTTGTGTTTTTGGTAGAGATGGGGTTTCACTATGTTGGCCAGGCTGGTTTTGAACTCCTGGCCTCAAGCCATCTGCCCACCTTGGCCTCCCAAAGTGCTGGGATTACAGGCATGAGCCACCACACCTGGTCTGAACCCATTTCTTTGGTGCTTTTTGGGTGGGTTTTATTATATCTGGTTAGATATTGTTTCTAGGCAGTATTATTTTTTTCCCCTGGTGACCCTTTGCAACCCTCTCACTGTAACCATTGACTGACTGCTCTTGAATGTTCTGAGAGAGAATATCCAAAGTCCCAATTAATAATTGCGACTACCTCACGCACAGGCTGTAGAAGGCCCAGAGTGAGAGGGAAGCAAACTCAAAGGCCTCTGGTGGCCAGAAGGGGTGTGGAAACCTGCACACGTTGCTTGGATGGTGGGGACTGGAGGAGCAGGACATGCTCTATCGGCTCTTGGCTGCAGCTGGTTGTTGTGTCACATGGGAGTGTCATTTCATGATACTAGTTCTTCTGTTTTTAAGAGAGCCAGAAATCTAGGTTTTTACGTGAATTTTCTCATTTAGAAAAAGTTTATAAATTTGATTTAAGTTTATAAAACATCCTGTTAGCCAAACAAAACATGTAGACATATGGCCTCTGGACTAATCAGGAGTAGCTGGGCCTACTGCCCTCAGGTTTGTGGGGAGCTGCGGGATTCCTTTCCTTGGGGCTGTGCAAGTGACTGTGTTAAGCTTACAGGGGAAACTGTTGGGACAGACAACTGTGTCAAATCATTCCATATTCTTTTTTTCTTTTCTTTTTTTTTTTTTTGAGACAGAGTCTTGCTCTGTCACCCAGGCTAGTGTGCAGTGGTGCAATCTCGGCTCACCTCAACCTCCGCCTCCTGGGTTCGAGAGATCCTCCCACCTCAGCCTCCCCAGTAGCTGGCACTACTGGTGTGTGCCACCACACCTGGCTAATTTTTGTATTTTTAGTAGAGAAGGGGTCTCACCATGTTGATGACGCTAGTCTCAAACTCCGGACCTCAGGTGATCCACCAGCCTCAGCCTCCCAAAGTGCTGGGATTACAGGTGTAAGCCACCACGCCCGGCCAAATCATCCCATTTTCTTTTCATCCTTTCATTTGGCTAACCTGAGAGTGAATACCATTTCCTCTCACTCTTTTAGGAGCCCATCTCTTGCTTTTAATGTAAAATATGCATAATTTGTGCTTTAAGATTACCATCAGTTTCATGAAGAGCTTAATTTTTCCCACAGATGAAGTGTAACTGGCTACCTAATGATATACCCTAAGCTTAACATTTTCTAAACCCTGTTTCTTGGCCCTAAATCTGCCCCCTTCCTTCCACCTCCTAAGTGGAATTGACATCTTTGCTTCCCCTGCAGGAATCTGACCTTGCAACAGACTCTGGATAAGCCCCATTAGAACAGCCAGAGGTAGAGAGACCAGGAGTGGCTGCTCTTGTGTAATCCCATACAAGTGTCAGTATCTGTTGCCAAATACTGAAAGAGAAGCCAGTTCCAGCTGATCACCATAAAAGCTTTCCCAGCACTTGTGGCTTGGGAGATGGAGGAAGCAGGACAGCCTGATAAATGTATAGAAAGGATGCATGAGAGATCCACCCTTGTAAGGTGAGGTGGTCCAATATGTTGACTGTCTGCACAGGTGAGCCTTTTTATAGAAAGCAAAAAATATCTGGAGACAACTTTGCTTGCATTTCTACACAAATTTCATGTTAAAATGAAATCCAGAAAAAACCTCGGTCAGAAGATGTAGTGCTTCTGGCCTGAGGCTTTTCAGATTTCAGTTTATCCTCCCACCCCCACCCCCCAGGAGTACAGAGTTTGTTTGCTGTTCTGGTGAAGCTAAACAGTAGTTGAACAGTTGACTTCATTGGAAAACGATATTATTTTGAAATGAGGCTTGGTTTCCCGGGTCAGTGACCTGCTTAGAGAGAAGCCGTGGGTCTGCGCTGGGATTTCGGAGTCACGGTGCTGCCGCAGCTCTGAGCATTCCCACGTCATTAGAGGAGCCGGTGGGGAATGAGAGCATGTCTGCTTTCAGGTTGTGGCCTGGCCTGCTGCTGACCGTGCTGGCTTCTCTCTGCCATAGAGGTTCATCGTGTGGCCTTTCAACGCACGTAGAAATCGGTAAGTACTGGTGTGTCGTTATGTTATTGAGAGGACAGTACATCTGTCAAAGACATTAAGGCAGAGATTGAAAATCCAGCTCGTGGATTGATACAGTTTCCCCTGGGCACTGAGCTGAGTGGCCTGAGAGCTGGGAGGAGAAGCCCGTGATTGCAATCATCCAGGGATAGGGATTGGCAGCACGGGTTCAGTTAAGGGGAAAATAAGAAAGACAGCTGATGCCCCGTTGGTCATGGGGCCCCTGTGTGTTTCTCTGGGTGGGGAAATAGAGGCTCAGTAAATGAGAGGTTGCAATGTGGCAGCAGAACTGACAGAATGGGAGAGGAACAAGATGGGTGGAATATGGCAGGAGTGAGAAATGTACTTTTGTTGTTTTACATGTGCAAGGACAGGCATTTCCTACTGTATGTAAAGAGCCATGTGTGGCCATGGGAGTGGGTCCCTGAGTCAAATTGCTGTAAAAGTGTTTGGCTTCAGGAAGGTCAAGAAAGTAAGGGAGTTTGGTCATCCACATTCACGGTGCCAGTAAGATGGCAGGAGTTGGGGAGGAGAAGGGGACAGCAAGCCAGTGCCACCGACCTTAGGGGCAAGGGCAGAGTCATCCTGGATATAGGGAGATGGTACCACAAAGAGTTATTTAAAATTTTTATTTTTCTAGCTTTATTGATGCATAATTGACAAACATTGTATAAATTTAAGATACACAACATGATGTGTTGATATATGTATGCCTTGTGAAATGGTTAGCACAATCAAGCTAATTAACACATGCGCCCCCCCATATAGCTACCATGTTTTTTGCATATGGACTGAGAACTCTTAAGATCTTTCTTAGCAAAAGGATTTGGTTCTTGTGTGAAGTGTATTTGTAACATGTTTTAACACATGGAAAATGTGAGTTAATTTGTAATAGAATTAGCTGTCATGACATTCTACAGCAATTTTCAGATTAATTTCAGATATACCTGATGTTCTGAGTTTTCTCTTTTTTTTTTTTTTTTTGAGACAGAGTCTCGCTCTGTCCCCCAGGCTAGACTGCAGTGGCGTGATCTCGGCTCATTGCAAGCTCCTCTTCCTGAGTTCACGCCATTCTTCTGCCTCAGCCTCCCAAGTAGCTGGGACTATAGGCGCTCACCACCACGCCTGGCAAATTTTTTTGTATTGTTTTAGTAGAGATGGGATTTCAGGATGTTAGCCAGGATGGTCTCGATCTCCTGACCTTGTGATCCGCCTGCCTTGGCCTACCAAAGTGCTGGGATTACAGGCATGAGCCATCACGCCTGGCCTGAGTTTTCTTTAATTTAGATAAAAATTGTAACAGAATTTTATAGTTATACCACCTCCAGATGTTTCAAGGAATAATAAGATTATAGGAAAAAAAATGAAAATTTGTCAGTGCTAAACAGACATATATACTGAGCTATGATGGGCAAGAACCTGTTGTCACAGAATTTGACTATCTGAAAGGACACTAGAAGTCACCGAGTCCAGTTCTTTTCTTTTACAGATGAAGAAACTGATACTAGACAGTTTTACAGCTAACTTTTTAGTGGCCTGGCCTAGAATTACATGTCCTGACAGCTGGTCTGGCGTTCTTTCCTTTAAAAATGTATTGCTAGAAGGGAGTCGGGAAACAATGGAAAAGAGAACCAGACTTAGGTTCTAATTCCAGCCATCCAGTAAAGTAGATGTGTGACTCTGAGCAATTCACTTTACCTACCTCTCAATTCTATAAAATGAGGGGGTTGAACTTCTTGAAGAATTCTAAAGTGTCTTCCAGTTCCATGTTCTGTGAAGTTGAAATTGCTAAAACTATAGAATGAGCTGATGAGGAACAAATATAAATGGAAATATTCAATTTTTTAATCCTTAGAGTTTAAAACATTACAAGACAGATTGCATCTGAAATTTTAATAAAACCAGATAGTTGCTTGCCTTTCTTCGATGAGTACCAAAGGTCCTAATTGATATTTAAAGAATAATATTTATGTGAGCATAATTGAAGGCATCTCCTGAAATAGAATCTGCATGGATTCTGAGAATTTTTTTACACAGAAGAAGACCAAAACTCCATCATTTATTTACTAATAAATTAGATGATGTTATAAATGTTTTGGTTCACTTTTTCATTTCTTATGAAGGGCCTGAGTGGAAGGTCAGCATTGTGTGAGTGAGTTAATTAGAAATGGCTTCATTCAGCATAAATCACTGGAATCCTATACACAGGTTATTTGGATTTGTGGGTTGTGACTTTTATGATATTAATGCTTATAATATAGTAGTGGCTATAGTTTTTTGTTGTATGAATTTTTGAAATTGGAGGCGATTCACAACAGAAATAAAGTATCGCTTTTGAATGTCACTTCACAACGAATGTTGGTCCTCTTATTGATTCTTGGGAGGTTCAGGCTGTGGGTGGGTGTGGGGTGGAGCTGGTAGTTTCCTGAGATTATTTTGTCTTTCTGGTCCAATGATGAGAAACTTTTGAGGATCATTGGCTCAGTCCATGGGTTAGGTGTTATATTATATTTTGTACTTAGGTTTGTTTACTTCAGTACTGAAGCAAAGTATGATGATGATGGTTTCTTTTTTTTTTTTTTTTTTTTTTTTTTTTTGAGACAGAGTCTCGCTCTGCTGCCCAGGCTGGAGTGCAGTGGCGTGGTCTTGGCTCACTGCAATGTCTGCCTCCTGGGTTCAAGTGATTCCCCTGCCTCAGCCTCCCAAGTAGCTGGGATTACAGGCACGCACCACCAGGCCTGGCTAATTTTTTGTATTTTTAGTAGAAACGGGTTTCTCCGTGTTGATCAGGCTGGTCTCAAACTCCTGACCTCAGGTGATCTGCCCACCTCGGCCTCCCAAAGTGCTGGGATTATAGGTGTCAGCCACCATGCCTGGCCTGACAGTTTCTTTTTCTTGAGCTCCTTACCAAGTGTCAGCCACTGTGCTTGTCACTTAGCATTTATTATTTCAACCAACCTGTTCGGTGAGTATTTTTTAAACTCAATTTTCCGTAGGAGGGAACTGAGGTCTAGAGAGGTTGAATAGCACTAAAGCTCATAGAACCATTTAATAGTTAAGCAGAAACTTTAAATCACCATCTAAACTTGCTTTGTACTATAACAATAGAAATATTGCACAAATCTATGCCTAATGAAAATTGCCAGCGAGTGCAAACTCATTTCATTTCCTGCATCCTTGACAGTTACAACCACAAAATTGTATATTTTTCTTTTAAAATCATCTCGCCTAAGTTATGTTTTCAGTAATAGTTGAACTTAATTGATTTATGTATTTATTTCTCTCAGGACACAGAGCTCTGGAGTTTCTTCATCTTCACAATGGGCATGTTAACTACAAAGAGGTAGAAATCTTGCTTTTTTCTTTCCTTCTTTGTGCATTAGTTTTCTTCTATAGGTGCCAAACAAAGATCCTAACAGATATTTAAACAGTAATTTTAAGACTTATTTTGGCTGGCCGTGGTGGCTCACGCCTGTAATCCCAGCACTTTGGGCGCCGAGGCAGGCAGATCACCTGAGGTCAGGAGTTCGAGACCACCCTGACCAACATGGAGAAACCCCATCTCTACTAAAAATACAAAATTAGCCAGGCGTGGTGGTGCATGCCTGCAATCCCAGCTATTCAGGAGGCTGAGGCAGGAGAATCACTTGAACCCGGGAGGTGGAGGTTGTGGTACACTCCACTGCACTCCAGCCTGGGCAACAAGAGTAAAACTCCGTCTCAAAACAAACAAAAAAAAGACTCATTTTTTATTTCTTTATGTTATAATGTTGTATATTATGTTATTAATGTTATAAGACATTAATATTATGGTTAAAAGGTATATGTCTCTTCCAAGTGCTACTTGAACATTTTATATGTATCTTATATATATCACACTTAAAATTTAAAGATTTTAATAAGAATCATAATTTGAAAAAATACTTGAGAAATTTTTTAAATAGTACATTTTAAAAAGTTGCTAATTTTATCTGTATCATTCCAATATTAGTATATGTGCTGCTGAGAAGAGCACATCTTTTTTGTTTTTATTATAGAGATGGGGGTCTCACTATGTTGCCCATGCTGGTCTTGAAATCCTGGGCTCACGCAATCCTCCCACCTTGGCCTCCCAAAGCACTGGGATTATAGGCATGAGCCACTATGCCTGGCCCATCTTTTTTATTTTTATTTTAAAACGTCATACTTGAGAGAGATCATTGATTTTCCACTTCTTGTTACTGTGTGTTACGCACAAATTGCATCACCAGGAGAAGGAAGTGTTTATTAAGAAATATGCCCTGAGATTCTCCGTCCAACTCCTACTATATCTATATCCTGGTAGGACTAGCTGATGACTCACCTTTACCCATCTTCAAATGAACACATTCTGATCGTATGCACTGTTTGTTCTATGGCTAAGTCATACTTTGGGACAAAGATGTAATTCTTTCATACCTACATTCGATAAGTGGTTAGCATTCCCTTCTGACATCAGAATTGGGTCATTTGATAACATTAAGTCTTGATAGTCCATTTGGGAAGCAGGATGGTAAGATAACTGAAATTTGTTGTATCCTCAAAATATTTTTAGTCATAAGATTCAGCTTCCTCCCTTGCCAACTTAACAGGCCGAATGAGGAAAAACAGCATTTATATCTGATAGTCATCTTCACTGACCTTGATGGCGAGTAGGCAGGAAAGAGGAGTGGAAATGAGAATCCGCCTAATTCATCACATGAACAGTCAATCCAGAGTGTGTGCAGAGTGATTTCTAGTAGAGGTTTTCCACCAGGTATTCTAGTAGAGGTATTATTAATTTAAAACATGTTAAATGAACACAGACGCTCCCTTTCAGGATGCATTCTAATCCAAATACTAATGTCATCCTCAGAAATAGGCCAGGCATGATGGTTTACACCTGTGATCCCAGCACTTTGGGAGGCCAAGGCGGGTCGATCACTTGAGGTCAAGAGTTTGAGACCAACCTGGCCAACATGATGAAACCCCATCTTCCCTAAAAATATAAAAATTAGCTGGCCATGGTGGCAGACACCTATAGTCTAGTCCCAGCTACTTGGGAGGCTGAGGCAGGGAATGATTTGAACCTGGAAGGTGGAGGCTGAAGTGAGCTGAAATAACACCACTGCACTCCAGCCTAGGCGACAGAGCAAGCCTCCATCTCAAAACAAAACAAAACAAAAACACAAAAACAAAACAAAACAAAACAAAAACAGCCCCTGAATGCATTGATTTTTTGAAGGGTTTTTTTGTGTGTGTGTGTCTCTATCTCCTTCAGTTCTGCTCTGATCTTAGTTATTTCTTGTCTTTTGCTAGCTTTTGAATTTGTTTGCTCTTGCTTCTCTAGTTCTTTTCATTGTGATGTTAGGGTGTCGATTTTAGATGTTTCCTGCTTTCTCTTGTGGGCCCTTAGTGCTATAAATTTCCCTCCACACACTGCTTTAAATGGGTCCCAGAGATTCTGGTACGTTGTGCCTTTGTTCTCATTGGTTTTAAAGAACATTTTTATTTCTGCCTATATTTCACTATTTACCCAGTAGTCATTCAGGAGCAGGTTTTTCAGTTTCCAGGTAGTGTGGTTTTGAGTGAGTTTCTTAATCCTGAGTTCTAATTTAATTGCACTGTGGTCCGAGTGACTGTTATGATTTCCGTTCTTTTGCATTTTCTGGGGAGTGTTTTACTTCCAATTATGTGGTCAGTTTTAGAATAAGTGTGATGTGGTGCTGAGAAGAATGTATACTCTGTTGATTTGGGATGGAGAGTTCTATAGATGTCTATTAGATCTGCTTGGTCCAGAGCTGAGTTCAAGTCCTGGATATCCTTGTTAATTTCCTGTCTGGTTGATCTGTCTGATATTGACAGTGGGGTGTTAAAGTCTCCTACTATTATTGTGTGGGAGTCTAAGTCTCTTTGTAGGTCTCTAAGAACTTGCTTTATGAATTGGTTGCTTCTGTACTGGGTGCATGTATATTTAGGATAGTTAGCTCTCCTTGTTGCATTGATCCCTTTACCATTATGTAATGCCCTTCTTTGTCTCTTTTGATCTTTGTTGGTTTAAAGTCTGTTTTATCAGAAACCAGGATTTTTTGCTTTTTACTTGCTTGGTAAATATTCCTCCATCCCTTTATTTTCAGCCTGTGTGTGTCTTTGCACGTGAGATGGGTCTCCTGAATACAGCACACTGATGGGTCTTGATTCTTTATCTAGTTTGCCAGTCTGTGTCTTTTAATTGGGGCATTTAGCCCATTTACATTTAAGGTTAATATTGTTATGTGTGAATTTGATACTGTCATTATGATGCTAGCTGGTTATTTTGCCAGTTCGTTGATGCAGTTTCTTTATGGTGTCAATGGTCTTTACAATTTGGTATGTTTTTGCAGTGGCTGGTACCAGTTCTTCCTTTCCATGTTTAGTGCTTCCTTCAGGAGCTCTTATAAGGCAGGCCTGGTGGTGACAGAATCTCTCAGCATTTGCTTGTGTATAAAGGATTTTATTTCTCCTTCGCTTATGAAACTTAGTCTGGCTAGATATGAAATTCTGGGTTGAAAATTCTTTAAGAATGTTGAATATTGGCCCCCACTCTCTTCTGGCTTGTAGGGTCTCTGCAGAGAGATCTGCTGTTAGTTTGATCGGCTTCCCTTTGTGGGTAACCTGACCTTTCTCTCTGGCTGCCCTTAACATTTTTTCCTTCATTTCAACCTTGGTGAATCTGACGATTATGTGTCTTGGGGTTGCTCTTCTCGAGGAGTATCTTTGTGGTGTTCTCTGTATTTCCTGAATTTGAATGTTGGCCTGTCTTGCTAGGTTGGGGAAGTTCTGGATGATATCCTGCAGAGTGTTTTCCAACTTGGATCCATTCTCCCCATCACTTTCAGGTACACCAGTGAAACGTAGATTTGGTCTTTTCACATAGTCCCATATTTCTTGGAGGCTTTGCTTGCTCCTTTTCATTCTTTTTACTCTAATCTTGTCTTCTTGATTTATTTCATTAAGATGATCTTCAATCTCTGATATCCTTTCTTGTGCTTGATGGATTCAGCTATCGATATTTGTGTATGCTTCACGAAGTTCTCATGCTGTTTTTCATCTCCATCAGGTCATTTATGTTCTTCTCTAAATTGCTTATTCTAGTTAACAATTCCTCTAACCTTTTTTTCAAGGTTCTTAGCTTCCTTCCATTGGGTTAGAACATGCTCCTTTAGCTCGGAGGAGTTTATTATTACCCACCTTCTGAAGCCTACTTCTGTCTGTTCATCAAACTCATTCTCCATCCAGTTTTGTTCCCTTGCTGGCAAGGAGTTGTGTTCCTTTGGAGAAGAGGCGTTCTGGTTTTTGGAATTTTCAGGCTTTTTGCACTAGTTTCTCCCCATCTTTGTGGATTTATCTACCTTTGGTCTTTGACGTCGGTGATCTCGGATGGTGTCTCTCTTAACAGTCAGGCCCCGCTGCTGCAGGTCTGCTGGAGGTCCACTCCAGACCCTGTTTGCGTTGGTATCACCGTGAGTGGAGGCTACAGAACAGCAAAGATTGCTGCCTGTTCTTTCCTCGGGAAGCTTCGTCCCAGAGGGGCACCTGCCAGATGTCAGCCAGAGCTCTCCTGTATGAGGTTTCTGTTGGCCCCTACTGGGAGGTGTCTTCCAGTCAGGATACACGGGGGTCAGGATCCCACTAGAGGAGACAGTCTGACCCTTAGCAGAGCTTGAACGCTGTGCTGGGAGGTCTGCTGCTCTCTTCAGAGCAGTCAGGCAGGAACGTTTAAGTCTGCTGAAGCTGTGCCCATAGCCACCCCTTCCCCCAGGTGCTCTGTCCCCAGGGATATGGAGGTTTTACCTATAAGTCCCTGGCTGGGACTGCTGCCTTTTTTCAGAGATGCCCTGCCCAGAGAGTGGTCTTGCCCTGTTACCCAGGCTGGAGTGCAGTGGCATGAACTCAGCTGACTGCAACTTCCACCTCCCGGGTTCAAGCGATCCTCCCACCTCAGCCTGCTGAGTAGCTAGGACCACAGGTGCACGCCACCACACCCAGCTAATTTTTTGTATTTTTGTTAGAGATAAGGTTTCAGCTTGTTTCCCAGGCTGTTTCGAACTCCTGAGCTCAAGTGATCCGCCAGCCGCAGCCTCCCAGTGTGCTGGGATTACAGATGTGAGCCAGAGACACTGCGCCCGGCCTTTATTCATTTTCATTTTTGTCAGTTTGGTAGGTGGAAAATGGCTTTTGTTTTAGGTTTAATTGGCATTTTAATTTTTTTCTTTCCTTTTTTTTTTTTTTTTTTTTTGAGACAGGGTCTGGCTCTGTCACCCAGGCTAGAATGCAGTGGCATGATCTCGACTCACTGTAACTTCCACCTCCCAGGTTCGAGCAATCCTCTCAACTCAGCCTCCCAAGTAACTGGGACTACAGACACACACCACCACACCAGGCTAATTTTTGTATTTTTTATGCATCAATTTTTCTGTTATGGTTTCTACTTGTAAATTATGCTTAGAAAAATTATTCCCACTTCATGGTTATATAATTATTCACTTAAATTTTATCCTGTTAATTTTATGGCTTCATTTTTGACATTTAACCTTATAATTCATCTTGTATTTGTTTGGGTATAAAACTTGACAGGGATCCAGTGACTTGTCATTGGTAATATTAATTTCAAGTCAGTGTCGCCTAGGGCAGTGGTTCCCAAGTTTTTTGACACGAGGGACTGGTTTCATGGAAGACAATCTTTCTATGGATGGGGTGGGGGGTAGATGGTTTCAGAATGAAACTATTTCACCTCAGATCATCAGGCATTAGATTATCCTAAGGAGTGTGCAACCTAGATCCCTAGCATGTGCAGTTCCCAGTATGATTCACACTTCTAAAGAGCGTGCAACCTAGATCCCTAGCATGTGCAGTTCCCAGTATGATTCACACTTCTCTGAGAATCTAATGCCACTGCTGCTGTGACAGGTGGTGGAGCTGAGGAGGCAATGCTTGCTTGCCCACTGCTCACCTCCCGCTGTGTGGCCCCATTCCTAACAGGTCACAGACTGTTACCAGTTCATGGCCTGGGGGTTGGGGACCCCTGATGTAGGGTAAACATGGATTTGCCCATGCAATGATGGTATACTCATTGTTACGGGGTTGTGACATCACCATTTGTTGACTACTCCATCCATTATTCATCTATTAGACGTTAAGTTATATGTATGCTTGGCCAGGTGCAGTGGCTCACGCCTGTAATCCCAGAACTTTGGGAGGCCGAGGCGGGCAGATCATGAGGTCAGGAGATCATTTTTATTAGTCTTTTTTTTTTTTTAGTCTTCCCAAAACACAAAGGACGTCATCTTACACTAAAGCACAGGTAGCAGCTATAAACTGATATGTACATATGTGCGCATGTGTGTGTATTTTTCTCTTTTCACTGTGAATCATTGAAAATTTTATAAAAACCAGTTCTGGGCCAGGCATGGTGGCTCATGTCTGCAATCCCAGCACTTTGGGAGGCTGAGATGGGTGGATCCCCTGAGGTCAGGAGTTTGAGACCAGCCTGACCAACATGGCGAAACCCCATCTCTGCTAAAAATACAAAAATTAGCCAGGCATAGTGGTGCATGCCTATGATCCCAGCTACTCAGGAGGCTGAGGCAGGAGAATCGCTTGAACCTGGCAGGTTGCAGTGAGCCGAGATTGCACCATTGCACTCCAGTCTGGGTGACAAGAGCAAAACTCCATCTCAAAAAAAAAACGCAACAAAAACAACAGCTCTGGGTCAGTAAAACAATCTTAAGGCCTCAGGGAAACCCTGCTTTACTGTGTTGGCAGAGAAAATGAAAGAAAATGAAGTTTAAATAAGTGATTTCTGCTATTTCTTAATTAGCCTCTCTGTGTTTGGTAGGGAAGAATCTGAAGTTATATATTGTTGTGTGTTGTCTTGGATTATGTGTGAATTTTAATCATTTATTTACTTTATGCCTGCTTTCCTTCCTTCCTTTTTCCGTTTCATTCCATCTATACCCCCATAGTTCTAGCATCTCATCACGGGAAATTGGTGGGGACTGCACTCCTCAGGCTGTTGACTGCTGCCCCCTAATCTCTGTATTTTCCTGCTCTGCAGCTGTTACTAGAACACCAGGATGCATATCAGGCTGGAACCGTGTTTCCTGATTGTTTTTACCCTAGCATCTGCAAAGGAGGTAAGATGAAAGTTTGCAGACTGAATGAAGTCACTTTTACTTGGTTAATAGGAATAGCTATAACTTTAAAAATATATATGTATGTGTACTATATATTTTTAATTGTACAGTGTATTTTCCATTATTGTTGAGAACAATTTGTTTCCCAATAATATTGTTGGTTAATGACTTAGTTTACATAGTTGCATTTTCCATTTAGCTAAAACTGACCTGGTTAAGCATAGAAATTCTGAAAACTTTATTTTTTGGTGAAAACCTAAGTGGCACGGCAGAAGACATTTTGCAAGACATCAAAAGGTCTGAGTTTGTGTTTCTTGCATATTAGCATGTGACCTTAAAAAAGTCACTTATGCACAGAATCTCAATTTTCATGTCTTGGTGAGGATAATGCCTGCCCTATCTCTTTACTTGATTGTCCTTGGCATTAATGCACAATATTTTGTCAAGTGCTATGCAAATCTCAGAGACTGTTATCTGTAAGAGTTAAAGAAAGAGGAAAGAAACATGAAAAGCAGCTTAACAGGCAAAGATAGATTTATTTTGGAGAAATAAACCTGAGAGGGGCTTCTGGCGGATTTCAGTCAGGAGCACTCTCTCTTACAGACTAAGAGTTATTTATTGGTGAGAGAGCTTGGAATGTTTCTCTGTGGGGAAGAAGTTTATTGCGGGGTTGGAATGTCTCTAGTGGGAGGGGAGGTTATCTTGGGGCTGACATCTCTCTGTCTGAAGGGGAGGTTATCTTGGGGTTGGCACGTCTCTGGTTGGGGAGGGGTTTGGAATGTTTCTGATTGGAGATGTTATTTGTGGTTTATGGTTATGCTGACTCAACCCATTAGGCTGATGCCCTTTGGATTTAGGCAATTTTTGGTCAAGGTGGACTTAAAATGGCAGTTGTTGTCCAAGATGGCAATGCTCCTGCTCTGTCATTATCAGTAAACTAGTCTCATGGGTTGTATCAGTCAGACACCCAGCAGGACCCAGAAGTCACGTTCAAACTGAGTAATTGGAGAGGAGTTTAGTAAGGGTACCATTTTCAAAGATGTGGACAGGAGGTGAGGAATTACAAAAGATGGTTCAGGGGAGGGAGAGATTACTGGAACCGTGGAGAGAGAGAGAGCTGCATGAAGAGGACCACTTGATGAGAGCTGGACCTTCAGCTATGGGGCACAGCCAGCCCACTGTGACCCCACAGAAGGGGAGCTGGGAGAATACATACCCCAACTTCTATGTTTTCTTTTTCTCTGATCTGTCAGTTTTCTTTATTGGCCAAACCCAACCCAACCAAAGCCAGAGGGCCACGAAGCCAGTTGGAGCAGGTGACCTCAGAGTCACCCTACAGGGTACAGAAGGATGGGGAGTGGGTCTGGAAGGACGAATGGAGGCCTCCAGCACACTGGGTCCTTGTATAAACTGCTTCTGAGGTCTTGGGGGTCATCTACTATTATCCCATTCCTTTAATTCAGTGATGTCTTTGGGACTGAAATGAACTATTTGGGGCTCCTCACTCCTGTAGTTAGAATCCCAGACAGCTAAGCTTTTGTGTTTCTCATATTTGTAAGTTTTGTTCTGTTTCCCTCTTAGTGTGTTAACTATCATTTCTCAATCCTATTATTTTGCCTGCATTTTATAGTTCTCCTTTCTAACCTATTATTTCTAATTCAGTACGTCCCAAACTGTATTCATGGGAGCTCTACTGTCCCTTGATAACTTCTGCAAAAAAGAAAAAGAAGAAAGGATATTTTTGTCCATTCAATTTGAGAAATATTGCTTATTGTACACCATTTTTAGAGACAGACAAAACCCACACTAGCCAAGGTTCTGAGGAGAGTGGAAAAGGAATGTAAACTATTTAGCATTTTCCATTGTTTTCTACAGCAATAAATACTCTTCTGTGAGGAAAAGATTGAGACTGGTATATGACTAGTTACAGGGAATTTGTGTAGAAATTCCACTTAGGTTTTTATGCATTTTTCCATATCTTACCTTGTCTCATACATACCTAATTCAACTGTAGTTTTGCTTTTCTTCTTTGGTGATTCACTCTTATTGCATCTTTCAGAAGCACTTAGCTTTCTTAGATATTTAATTGCCAAAGAAAAAACACCTTTTTTTTAAAAGTTATTTTAATAGTTTTTAGAGACAGGGTCTTGCTCTGTTGCCCAGGCTGGGGTGCAGTGGTGCAATCACAGCTCATTACAGCCTCAAACTCCTGGCTTCAAGTGACCCTCCTGCCTCAGCCTTCTGAATAGCTGAGACTGAAGGTGTGTACCACCATACCTGGCTAATTTTTTATTTTATTTTTTAATTTTTGTAGAGATGGGGTCTTGCTATGTTGCCCAGGCTAGTCTCAAACTCCTGGTCTCAAGGGGTCGTCCCACTTCAGCCTCCCAAAGTGCTGGAATTACAGGCGTGCACTACTGTACCCAGCAAAACTCTTCATTTGTATTAGTTTACCTAATATTGAATTAGCTTTTATAATTACAGTAACAAGGACATCTGGTTTAAACAGGATTAGAGTGGGTCTGATTGACCCTTTGTGAGCTATGGTATAGACAGGTAAGTTCAAGTCTCTGGGCAGTGGCTTGCCAGCTGTCAGCATCCAGCATGCCCTGGGTGACTTTCTTTTGCTTCCAGTCTGTAGGATTTACAGAGGGATCAGAAAGCTTCAGTTAATCTGGCAATTCGTTTAAGTTGAAGTTGTTCAAAAGAGCTACTGCTATATTTAATTCTGGAGTTTTACTGTATTCCAGAGAACAAGAATTGTTTAAAGCTTTATCTCTAGAAAAACTGTGGGCGCAAATAGAATGTCTTGGTTCTAACTTCTTTGAAAACCATTTTGAAAAAAAAAAATGATTTAAAATTGGTTCAGCAATTTTTACTTTAGGAACAGCATAGAAAAATTGAACTGAGGGATCTGAACTCTGCAGTTTTGCTTTTAGTTACCCTCGTAACATTTGGCACTCCATGAGGCATTCGTGGCCCTTGGAGGTTTAGCACAGAGGCCAGTTCTGTCTTCCCTACCCCTCTTGTGGGAATAAAGAGCTACATGGGACACCCACTGGCCCACTCAAACGATGCTTGCATAAAATGCTTGCTGGGGCTCGTGCCATTTTATAACAATTATTATAAAATCAAATGCTTGAAAGCATATGAAATACTTGCTTTTATTTCTGTACTCTTTTTTTTTTTTTTTTTTTGAGATGGAATCTTGCTCTGTCGCCCAGGCTGTAGTGCAGTGACCGGATCTCAGCTCACTGCAAGCTTCACCTCCTGGGTTTACGCCATTCTCCTGCCTCAGCCTCCCGAGTAGCTGGGACTACAGGCGCCCGCCACCTCGCCCGGCTAGTTTTTTGTATTTTTTAGTAGAGACAGGGTTTCACCGTGTAGGCCAGGATGGTCTCGATCTCCTGACCTCGTGATCCGCCCGTCTCGGCCTCCCAAAGTGCTGGGATTACAGGCTTGAGCCACCGCGCCCGGCCTTTATTTCTGTACTCTTAAGGGGGGTGACTGTGAGAGACAAGAAAAATATTTTTAAAACCCCAACAAATAAACAAAACCAAACTACAGCTTGTTTCCTTAGCTTTAGGGCACAGAAATGGAAACACTTTAGCCTCTATTCTAACCAGGTAGCCAGGCTTGCGATACTGTGAGCCAGTTCAGGCTTCTGTCCCTCTTACGGTAGGGCTCTTTTTAGTCATCAGGCAGACAGTACCATGCCTATTCCAAAATCTCAGCTGGCTCTTCTGTTTTTGGAGGCTTCTTTTGAATGTCGACAGAAGAAACTGAGGGGCATGGAGGGAAAGAGGAGAAGGGACACAGCAGCGCAGTGGGGGGTGGTGGAAGATTTGATTGGGACTCTCCAACTTTTGAGAGAGAATCCAGAGCCCTGCTTTTGTTTTGTCAGGAAAATTCCATGATGTGTCTGAGAGCACTCACTGGACTCCGTTTCTTAACGCAAGCGTTCATTATATCCGAGAGAACTATCCCCTTCCCTGGGAGAAGGTAGGCATGGTCCTCTAATCCTTAAAATATTTAGCACCAAACCTGCCGTGTACTGTTTTTGCACCTGAGTTGACCCCATTCATACCACTCTGTAAGGGCTGCCCACCATTCTACCTTCAGTGTCATGCACATTGCTTGGACATAGTAGATGGCTAGATAATACTTGAATTACTTATAAACACAGTTTGGGATATATCACTTCATCATTTTGCTCCAATAGTAATTAATCTTAAAGCACTTCCAACACATCATAAAACGTTTCCAAAAGTCCTTATGGTTTCGTGTGTGTGTGTGTGTGGTTTTTTGTGTTTGTTTGTTTTTGTTTTTTCAGACAAAGTCTCACTCTGTCGCCCAGGCTGGAGTGCAGTGGCGTGATCTCTGCTCACTGCAAGCTCGACCTCTCAGGTTCATGTCATTCTCCTGCCTCAGCCTCCTGAGTAGCTGGGACTACAGG